AACTTCTTATGTTAAACTACTTAAAGTAATTAGCCTCCAACTAATAAAAATAAATGAAAAAAAAAGAAAAAAAAGAAACTACTTAGATTTAAGTACTTAGATTTAACCACTTACATTAGCTGGTATACTTAATTAATTAACTAATTTATACTAGAACTAAGACTAATACTAAGCTGAGCATAAGGGTGGAAAAACAAAATGAAATAATAATATCGCTTGTCTCCCCATCTATTAGCTATTGGGCAGCCATCAAGTTTTTCTTCTTTTGATCTTTAACCTGTTTACTTCTCCAATTTTTGTTAGTTGTATGTGTACACTGGATCTCCTTTTCCTATCCTCTAAATCTGTCTCTTGTCACTAATACATTCTTATTCTTATTTTATATTCTCCATCCTTCCCCTTCTATGCCACATTTTTGTTGCTGTTCAGTAGCTAAGTCGTGTCCAACTCTCTGCGACCCTATGGACTGCAGCACGCCAGGCCTCCCTATCCTTCACCATCTCCTGGAGCTTGCACAAACTCATGTCCATTGAGATGGTGATGCCATCCAACCATCTCATCCTCTGTTGTCCCCTTCTCCTCCTGCCTTCAGTGTTTCCCAGAATCAGGGTCTTTTCCAATGAGTCAGTTCTTCCCATCAGGTGGTCAAATTATTGGAGCTTCAGCATCAGTCCTTCCAGTGAATAGTCAGGATTTCTTTTGACTGGTTTGATTTCCTTGCTGTCCAAGGGACTCAAGAATCTTCTTCAACCACAGTTCAAAAGCATCAATTCTTCGGCGCTCAGCTTTCTTTATAGTCCAACTCTCACATCCATACATGACTACTGGAAAAACCATAGCTCTGACTAAACGGACCTTTGTCAGCAAAGTGATGTCTCTGCTTTTTAATACACTGTCTAGGTTGGTCGTAGTTTTTCTTCCAAGGGGCAAACATCTTTTAATTTCATAGCTATGGTCACTGTCCACAGTGATTTTGGAGCCCAAGAAAATAAAATCTATCACTGCCTCCATGTTTCCCCCTTCTATTTGCCATGAAGTGATGGACTGGGTAATGTGATTTTAGTTTTTTTAATGTTGAGTTTTAAGCCAGCTTTTGCACTCTCCTCTTTTACCCTCATCAAGAGGCTTTTTAGTTCCTCTTCACTTTCTGTCATTAGAGTGGTATCATGTGCATATCTGAGATTGTTGATATTTTTCCCGGTAATCTTGATTCCAGCTTGTGAGTCATACAGCCAAGCATGTCACACAATGTACTCTGCAAGGAAGTTAAATTAGCAGGGTAACAGTATACAGCCTTGACATACTCCTTTCCCAATTTTGAACTGATCCATTGTTCCACATCCCATTCTAATTGTTGCTTCTTGTCCTGCATACAGGTTTCTCAGAAGACATGTAAGGTGGTATGGCATTCCCATCTTTCTAAGAATTTTCCACAGTTTGTGGTGATCCACACAGTCAAAGGCTTTAGCACAGTAAATGAAGCAGATTTTTTTTTTTAATTCCCCTGCTTTTTCTATGATCCAAAGGATATTGGTAATTAGATTTCTGGTTCCTCAGTTCAGTCACTCAGTCATGTATGACTCTTTGCAACCCCATGGACTGCAGCACACTAGGCCTCCCTGCCTATCACCAACTCCCAGAGCTAACTCACACCCATGTCCATCGAGTCAGTGATGCCATCCAGCCATCTCGTCCTCTGTGGCCCCTTCTCCTCCTGCCCCCAATCCCTCCCAGCATCAGGGGCTTTCCCGGTGTGTCAGCTCTCGGCATCCTCTGCCTTTTCTAAATCCAGCGTGTATATCTGGAAGTTCTTGGTTCATGTACTATTGAAATCTAGTTTGAAGGACTTAGAGAATTACCTTGCTTCATGAGCACAACTGTATCATAGTTGGACTGTTCTTTGGCATTGCCTTTCTTTTGGGATTGGAATGAAAACTGACATTTTCTAGTCCTGTGACCACTGCTCAGTTTTCCAAATTTGCTGATATATTGAGTGCAGAACTTCTACAGCATCATCTTTTAAGATTTGAAATAGCTGGAATTCTATCACCGCCACTAGCTTTGTTTGCAGTAATGCTTCCTAAGGCCCACTTGACTTCACATTCCAAGATGTCTGGCTCTGGGTGAGTGACCACACCATCGTGGTTATTTGGGTCGTTAAGACCTTTTTTTTTTTTTTACTGTTCTTCTGTGTATTCTTGCCACCTCTTCTTAATATCTTTTGCTTCTAATAGGTCCATATTTTTTCTGTCCTTTACTGTGCCCATCTTTGCATGAAATGTTCCCTTGGTATTTCCAATTTTCTTGAAGAGATCTCTAGTCTTTCCCATTCAATTGTTTTCTTCTATTTCTCTGCACTGTTCACTTAAGAAGACTTTTTTATTTCTCCCTGCTGTTCTCTGGAACTCTGCATTCAGTTAACATACAGTTACGTTTATATTTTTATTGGATTCATGGTAACACTGTTCTCAAGCATTTTCACTGTCTACAGTAAAGTAATGCTTAATAACTTTCATTTATTTCACTATAATTATTTGGTATGTAGGAAAGAACTCTTCCTTTTTTTTCCATTTTTACCTAACTATATTTGAATGAAATGCATTTTCTTAAACTAGAGTCAGATAGTTATGGGAATGGAACATGCAATCGGTTTCCAAGCTTCAAAACTGAAGAGATCTTCTCTGATCTCTTTAATATAGTCCTTATATTTTAATATAGGGTTTTAAAATAGGTTTTAATATACTCCCTATGTGTGTTTACACCTTCTCCGCCCCTGTAAACCTGGCCTGCTTGAAAAGAAATTCTATTGCCAGCTCTGAGTTTCTGAGATCTCTTCATGTTTCTTCCTTTCCAAGGTTATGTATTCATTTATAGAAGGTACATTTTGCTGGCACTTTTTTAGATCTGCTGTCTGGACCTCCTAGACATTTTGCAAAGCTTTTCTCCCATTCTTTCTGAAAATAATCTGCCCTAACTTATCTACCTAGGTCTTACTCTCAGAACTTTCATCTTAAGGTCTCACCTTCTAAGAAAACAGTAATACATACTGGAGATATTTGAGATCTGTCAATTCTAAGACCCTCTCAACATTTGCTATATCTTTTTGTGATATCTTTGTGATAACATTTGTGATTTCTTTGTGAATCTACAATCTGGTTCCTTGTTCTACTTCAATTTTGGTAATATTTATATGCAATTACAGCTCTTTTTTTGGTCTCATAACTGTACTAAAACAACATTGTAAGTGTGCTCATGTGTGTTTGTGTGTTCTATTTATGTGTTTTATTCTTCTTATTGTTTTGTATAGTTACCAGGAGAAGTGAGAAGATTCAGAACCAGACTTCTAGAAAATTACAATCATCTTTCTCATCTCACTGCTGAAAATATTTGCTCAGAAGTTTCACATGAACTTTAAATAAGGCATGATCAATACTTTAATCATTATCTTCAACCTGAGCTTTCTCTTCTTGAATTTCTTATCTCAGTTAATGGATTATCATTCACTTAGTTCCCAGACTAGATATCTGGACATAGTACTACATTTTTCCACATTTTATACCAGGAACATCAAATTAACAACCTTGCCCTTTTATCCAAACTAAATATTTCTCAATTATAATTTATTCTTTCTCTCTTTAAATAGAGATAAATTCTGAAATGGTTTCCTAAGTTCTTTACTTTGTTTCCAGTTTTGCCTCATCAGCTCCAGCACCCAGACTATCTTCAAAGTAATCTATCTAAAACACATATTTAATAACTTTTACTTCTAAAGTCTGCTCTCTTCAATGGCTTTCCGGTGTACACAGAATAACATCATTCATGTTAACATGGCAAAGAAAGCCTTCCATGACCAGGCCCGTATCAAGCTCAAATCTCCCTGTACAATTCACAATCATGGTACTCTTGTAACAAACTCCTTGCCAATTTGGTTAACACACTTTTACCACTACATTCCCTACTCATTTTTCCTGTTAAGAACTGTCCCCTGTTTGCTTGCATTGTGAGAAATCACTTATCTTTATGACTCAGTTCAAGTGCCACATTGTCTACAAGCATTTCCAAATCATCCTAGATAAAAATGACCATTTTTTCCTCCTTAGTTCCCAGGGCAACCTGTACAAGCTTTAATCAAGGCCTTCTAAGTACTCACTGCAATCCTTTTTATATGTTTTTCTCCCCCTAATAAACTCTAAGCAATTTGAAAACAGGTCCATACAAGGTCTTTGTAGTTACAGTACCAGATACAGGTAAATAAACTAAAGCCCACCTCATTGTATAGATATGTTCAAGTTTTGTCACCCATCTAAACTGCAAGTTCATCGAAGACAGAGACCATATATACCCAATCTAGATTTTTCATTGGTATATATTTATTCATGTTTTCTATATCTATTTTTCTAGCAGACAACAAATTGCTTCTCACGACCTAAGGATTTATGCTAGCCTTTTGAAAAAAATAATTTGAAAATAATGACCAATTATTCTGTTACTATGATAAAAATATCAAATATACTTCATATATCCAGGAAGAACAAATGAATAACAAATGTTAGTTTAACTTAGAATAATAATCAACGTATGTATTAAAATTCCAAAATTCTAGAAGCTATTATTATGTTACTTTATTGATGACACTGATGATTTCTCATAGTCAAATTGGCTAATATAGAAGTAAATAGCCAATAAATATCTATAACCAATGAATGAACAGTGAAATAATGTGTTAAAATTAAGATTTTTCTTATATCTATGAACTTTCTAGGTGTGTTAAATTAACGTTTAGTTTTAAACTAAACTAAATGTGTTTTCTACATATCTTCTGCAAACAAATTAGAGGATTAAGCACATAACAAGAATTTTGAAAATATAACAATTTTCCCCTCGAGCAGTTGCTACCTTGAAACAAAGCTTAAATTATTTACTGCAATATTCTAAAAGCTTCCTAAAATTGTCTTTCACATGTATTAAATGAATAATGATTATGAATAGCATATACACACCGAAGAATGGTCAGGATGCTTGGTACATCAGCAAAAGCAGAAAATACAATTGTAGAAAATATAAAAGCAATGAACAAAGGTAATTTATAACACTTTGAATCACATGTCCCACTTGTAGCATCAATAAAATCACCTTGATCATCTGAGGTTGTTAATCCTTCTTTAATGCAAGAACAATTGTAGTATGTCTATGAAAATGAAGATAGGAAACAATCTTTAGAAATATAATCATAAGGCAAAAGTTCTTATAGTCATAAAATAAAAATTAAATCCTTAACTGTAGGGAGACTAGGCAGTTTTATTAGTAAATATTTTTTGCTATGTTGCTGATATTTGTTGTTTTAGTCACTAACATGTCCAATTCTTTTGTGACCCCATGGTCTGTAGCCTACCAGGCTCTTCTGTCCATGGGATTTCCCAGGCAAGAATACTGGACTGGGTTGCCATTTCCTCCTCTAGGGGATCTTCCTGACCCAGGGATTGAACCCACATCTTCTGCATTGAAGACAGATTCTTAAAACTGCTGAGCCACTGGGAAAGCCCAATTAGTAAATATACTGACATTAAATCTTCTGTTGTTAATTTATAAATGAAGCACTAATGATAAATATCAAGGCATTTTACCTAACAAAGAATTGTGCACATGTATATATATAATTATAGTTACTTAGGAAATATTCTATTAATTTAAGAAATTTCACTAAAAAATATTTATATTTAATTGTACAATAACTGAGAGAGATGTGGGTTGAGAATGAATAAGGAAAATATAATGAAAAAATGGAATTTTAGGTGGGATTTGAAATATGGAGTTACTCAACTACAGACAGTTTTAGAACTGTGCTGAAAAGACAAGACTTTATATGTGATGATGACAGGGCTGTTATCTATTAGGCAGAGGAGGCCCAGTGTGCCTAGGGCCCACAATACTTTCAGGACCAAAATAGAGGTTTTAATTTTAGTGTCTTTTAAAATCAGAGAAAAAATAAACATCTTAATAAAGGAATATATTATAATGTATCAAGACTAGATCATATTTGTCTTTACATCATTGCAGTTGAACATTAAATCAAACTCTCTCTCTCTTTCTCTTTCTTTTGTTTTAAGTGAAGGAAGAGGTTTACAAATGCAAGAGTGCCTAAAGTCAATATAAGTCATAAAGTAGTCCCTAATAAGAACCGATACAAACTTTGGGTTGTTATTTTAGTACTGGTAACTCAAGGAAGATGAATAGGTGACAATTTCTAAGAAGAGCTAAACAGAGCCGGAGATACAAAAACTAGTAAGCAATTTGCTAATATATTGAAAAGATTCTAAATTAAATAATCTTGCTGTTCTGTTGCTAAGTCACATCCAATTTTTGTGACCCTATGTACTGCAGCACACCAGGCTTCCCTGTCCTTCACTGTCTCCCTGAGTTTGCTCATACTAATAGTAATAATTTTTAAAAATTCAGTAGAAATATTAAGCTAAATTACTAGTGAAAGACTAAGGGGAAATAAAGATGACTTGATTCTCAGTGATTCAGAAAATGATGGTATAAAAGTCATATCAGTTGTTTAGGGAAGCTGCTTAGTGGTTGCTGGATATGTTAAACAAAAACAGAAATATCCAAATAGCAAATCATTCTTTCCACTGAATTTTTTTTTATAATGCCCTTGTACCAAACATCATTCTAGGTGTTATGAAAACAGAGTAAACATACAACAGAAATCCCTGCCCTCATGTAGAAAATTTACTTGCATAAGTGATTTTTTTTAATAAAAAGAAGGTTTATGGAGCACATGGTGATGAATACTATGGATAAAAAAAATAAAGTAAGGAAAACTCAGAGAGATGATAGAGGTGAGTTTTGTCTGGTCAGGTAATGCCACAATGATACAGTGATATTTAAGCAAAGATTTGAAGAAGGTAAGGAAGTGAGCCATTGTGGCTATCTGAAAGAAGTATATTCCAGGTAGGAAAAACAAAATAGAAATTAAAAAGGCTTGAGACTTGAGCTTGCTTAACAAGTTCAAAGAAAAGCAAGGTGAAAAATTTGGTTGCATCAGAGTGGACATAAAGAAAACTAAGATAAAACAAGATCAGAGTAATGAGGTAAGGATTTATACAGAAACTGGTAGGTAATTGCAAGAGCAATTAAGAACTTTGGTTTATATTCCCATTAGAGGGGTATATGTATAAGTGATACATTTTAAAAGACCACTTTAGAAGCTGTATTGATACTACTGAACTGTGAAAGCAGAGAAAAGTTAAAAGGCTATTGAAATAAGATGCAAGTCAGTGGTGATTGGGGCCCGGGTATCAAAGAAAATGATGAAGATAATCAGATCCAGCATGTATTTTAAAAGTAGATTTGAAGGGTCCTAGGGTAGGAATGGTTACCAGAAGGGGAAAGTCATATGGAGAAGGTGCCCCTGAAAGAAACTAAGATTTGCAGGCAAGGCAGGTCAGTCCAAGGCACAGAGAGGGAACCGGGAAAATAAACACAATGACTTTACTTTCTCCTGCCCCATCTTTCTGATCTTCTACGAGGACTTCTTACCAGCATATAATCCAGTCGGAAGCTAGAGGGCAAAGGAACGCTCATCCTATGGTCCGCTCTTCTGGAACAATGAGTAGGGTAGAGAAGGCAGAAAGTAGATATCTAGCCCAACAAATAATTGCAGGCCATAGAACCTAAGCTGACTAACAGGAAGAGTGAAAATATGAAGAAAGTTTAGTGAACAGATGATAGAATTACAAGATATTAGGCTCTGTGGGGTTATATCCAAAGAGATATAACCAAAATGGCAGAAGTTAAATCAAAAATGAAACATTAAAAAATATTCAATCCAAATAATAAAAGAGGAAGACAGATCTAACTCTACAATATCAACGGTTACAATTAATGTCAGTTGTCTAAAAATGCCAATTGAAAGATAGACATTAACAGAAAAGAGGGAAAAAGCAAAAGCATATTATCCACGGGCTACAGGAGACACTTTAAACAGAAAGACACAACCATTGGAAAATAAAATGATGGAAATAAGATGCACCATGAAAGCAGCAAGAAAATCTACAGCGACTGTTTAATATACAAAATATACCTCAAGAAAAACAGTATTATCAGAGTTGGAAAGGAACATTTTGTAAAGATAAAAGAAACAGTTCATCAAGAAGCTGTGACAATTATCAATGTTATGCACACAATGAGAGAGTTTGAAAATGCATGAAGCCAAAATAAACAGAGAAATAGATGACTGTATAATTAAGTTGATATATTTTTATATATAATGTTTAAGATTTCATATATCATTACAAAGTATGCAAAACAACAAGAATAATTGGCTTAAAACTAGAAGAACAAACATAAGTAGACTACTACAAATAATAGACTTGAAAACAAGAACTTTAAGACAGTAATTATTAATATTTTCCAGAAAATAGAAGGCAAATGGATAAAATATCTCAAAGAATGTACAATTTCCCCAGTGGTTTGGATTCTACAAAAACACAGTGTTAGAACTGAAAAATACAATGAGTAAACTTACCACCTCAGTTAATGGGTTTAACAGCAAAGCAGGCATAGCAGAAACAAATAGCACCTGGAAGACAGGCCAATAGAAAATATCTAAACAGATGAAAGGAGATGGAAAATAGAGAAAAAAGGCAAAACAAAGGATGGGACACAGTAGAAAAGTCTATTTGCAGTCTATTAGGCAGAATTCTAAAATGGCACCTAAGAATCCCACCCCTCTAATTTATAAACCTGCATAACCCCTAGGTTGATGGAAACTGGTGAATTTTAATCCTCTTACTAAGTTTATGTTACACGGCATTGCTAAGAGGTGGTAAACCTCACCCAATCAGGTAGTATATATAAGAAACTGGGCCTTTCCTGAACTCAGAGATTCAGAGCATGTGTCATAGGGAGATTCCCTTGCTGGCTTTGAAGATGGAAGGAGTCATGTTGCAAAGAGGGGGGTGGCCTCTGAGACCTAAAATCGGCCCTTAGCAGACAGCTAACAAGCAAAAGGAGGCTTCATTTTTTACAGTCCAAAGGAACTAAATTTGGCCCATAATCTGAATGAGCTTGGAAGTAGATTTTTTCCCCAGAGCCTCCAGAAAGGAATATATTTCAGCAAATACCCTAATTTCAATCTGTGAGACTCTGAGCAGAGGACTGAGCGATGCCATATCTGGACTTCTGACCTGTCAGCTAACAAATGAGTATTATTTAAACACACTAAGGCTGTAATAATGGGTTATGCAGCAATATTAAGCTAACATATAGTGCTTCCCCTCCAATAGAAGAGGAGAAAGTGAGGGAGAAACAATTACCAAGAATTTTCCAACTGATAGACATAAATCCAAAAACTAAAGATGCTCTGTGAAACTCTAGCACAATAAATATAATGACAACCACACCCAAGCACATCAAAGTAAAATTCTTGAAAATCAAAAACAAAGAGAAAATTCTAAAAGCAGCTAAGCAGCCAGAGACCTAAGATGATATAATGTCATCTTTCAAATGCAGGGGTGGGGCAGAGAGCAGGGACAGATCATTGCCAATATAGAATTCCATGCCAAATGAAAACAGTTTTTCTTTTCAGAAATGGAAGGTAAAATATGGTTCTTCAGGAAGAAAGAATATAATCTCATATGAAAACATGAAAATGCAAGGAAATGGGTAAATATAAATGCATATTGACTGTACAAAACAACAACAAAAAGGGTGTGGTGTGTGCTACATCTGACTCTTTGTGACCCCATGGACTGTAGCCCACCAGGCTACATGGCTCTGTCCATGGGGATTCTCCAGACAAGAATACTGTAGGTGGTTGCCATTTCCTCCTCCAGGGGATCTTCCCAACCCCAGGGATCAAACCCAGGTCTCCTGCATTGCAGGTGGATTCTTAACCATCTGAGTCACCAGGAAAGCCCATAATTTACATAGTTTATCAAAATTACATACATCTGCAAGAATACTGGAATATGTCACCCAAGAATACTGGAATGGGTAGCCTATCCCTTCTCCAGGGGATTTTCCTGGCCCTTCAAACTTGGGTTTCCTGCATTGCAGGTGAATTCTTCACCAGCTGAAGCCCAACAAAGAGGATATGTGTCCTTAAAATATATGGGGAAATAAAATATATATGACAGAAATAACACAGAGGAGGCAATCAGTAAATGAAATTAAATATCCTAGGGGTGTTTCAACTGGAAGAGGCCCTAAGCCTGGCTTTCTGTAATCCTTAACACTTTGGACAATACTGATTCCCTTCTCTGTAGATAATTAGAACAAGGCTCCTGTTGAATAAGAGCAGTCTCGAGAAGAAGCCCCCTGAAACTCCTATTTTACGATGAAAGCCATTATCAACTGCTGAAAAGAACTAATCCCAGTGAAAAGATCATGAAGAAAAGCTAGAGATTTCATTCATATCTATGTAAGGATATTTGAAGTTTGGTTTTTTCCAGTGGTCATGTATGAATGTGAGAGTTGGACTGTGAAGAAAGCTGAGTGCCAAAGAATTGATGCTTTTGAACAGTAGTGTTGAAGACTCTTGAGAGTCCCGTGGACTGCAAGGAGATCCCACCAGTTCATCCTAAAGGAGATCAGTCCTGGGTGTTCATTGGAAGGACTGATGCTGAAGCTGAAACTCTAATACTTTGGCCACCTCATGCGAAGAATTGACTCAGTGGAAAAGACCCTGATGCTGGGAAAGATTGAAGGCAGGAGGAGAAGGGGACGACAGAGGATGAGATGGTTGGATGGCATCACCGACTTGATGGACATGAGTTTGGGTAAACTCCAGGAGTTATTGATGGACAGGGAGGCCTGGTGTGCTGCGATTCATGGGGTCGCAAAGAGCCAGACACGACCGAGCGACTGAACTGAACTGATAGCATAGATAATAGCAATACATGTGGGTCTCAAAGAGGCAAAACACTTGGAATATTATCAACATGAATAGCAGATATCTGTTTTCAGTTTTGGTAAAGCTGTAATTTTTTATAGAAAATTCTAAATCTTCAGAGGTGTAGTATCTCCTACCACTCCTCTTGCAAATTTTTGCATAAGTCTAACTGAAGACCACTTAATTCTAACACATTTGACACTGATCATACTTTGAATATGAACATTTAATCGGAATTATTTCAAAGTTGACATATTTTCATTGAAAAAAAAATTTCCAGAAGGAACTCCATTAGCACAATTTAGATACATTAATTTTTATATATGGTATTTCTCTTATTTAATTTTAATTTTGTTAAAATTATGTTTATTGGTATAAATTCTTTCCCACTTGAAGTTCATTAACTGGCTTCATCTGTATCAAATTGTACTAATCATAACTTCTGCTACAGTTTTCCTTCAGAGACTTTATTGCTTTCCAAAACTAATTGTCTTCGGTAATTTGTAACATCTAATCTTTGGTCAAAAATATTTCATTCTTTTAATTTTTATTCAGCATCAAATGTTATCACAGATCACCAGGCTGGGCTCCCTGTGTTATGCGGCAGCTTCCCACCAGCTATCTATTTTACAGATGATAGTGTATATACGTCAATACCAATGATATTAAAAAAAAATGTTATCACACAGTTTGAGTCACGATTTTGTGATTTACTTCATTATTCCTCAAGAATTAATTATTCCTTACACAAGTTAATTTATAAAGACTTCTATGAAATAGAAACAAATCCCTAAAAGGGATTCCCCAGAAAAATAAAGAGAGCTTAGAGCATTTAAGTGAGTGGACTTTTTGGCTCTTGAATATCCCATGGGATCAAAACACCAAAGTCAAACAGTTATGCTTTATACTGTGGTTACAATGTGAACACTTAAAAAATCATTTATTTAAAATAAGATTTTCCATAAGTTAATAAATTGTTGAAAATGGGTAACATATAGGAGTTCATTATGCTTTTCTACTACATTTAAAGTTTTCCATAGTAACCTATTTTGAATGATTTAAAATATTTTAAATATATTTTAAAATATATAAATCATTTAAAATATGTAACAGTTTTTAGAAAATATAATACATATAAATAACCACCTTAAATTTTAAAAATTTAAAGAATCATTTAAACATTTAAGAAAAAAAATTTTTAAGGGTACATAATCTTTTCATTATAAATATTCAATAAAACTGAAGATATATTGTTAAATCATAGGCCAGAGAATATACAACAATGAGGAACTAAAGTTGGTCAGGTACATTATTATCTTGTAATAAAATTATCTGTTTGTAACAGCAAAAAAGAATATTGTGGTATAGATACTAATAAATAAAGTACTAATAAAGTACTTTATTGCCTACTTGGGAAGATGGTATAATGTCCATTTGCTGCTGTCACTGAGAAGTCGCTCCAGTCGTGTCCGACTCTGTGCAACCCCATAGACGGCAGCCCACCAGGCACCCCCGTCCCTGGGATTCTCCAGGCAAGAACACTGGAGTGGGCTGCCATTTCCTTCTCCAATGCATGAAAGTGAAAAGTGAAAGTGAAGTTGCTCAGTCGTGTCTGACTTGTAGCGACCCCATAGACTGCAGCCCACCAGGCTCCTCCGTCCATGGGATTTTCCAGGCAAGAATCCTGGAGTGGGGTGCCATTGCCTTCTCTGATAATGTCCATATATGAGGACAAATGCTCTTTTTCTCTTCCCCTCACAAAAACTAGACAAAAAAGAGGAGAGAAACACTGGAAAAAAAATGTATCTCAAAGTCATTCCCAGGCTTCCCTGGTGGCTCAGATGATAAAGAATCTGTCTACAGTGCAGGAGACCCAGGTCCCATCCCTGGGTTGGGAAGATGCCCTGGAGAAGGGAATCTTGAGTATTCTTGTCTGGAGAATCCCATGGACAGAGGAGCCTGGCAGGCTACAGTCCATGGTGTCACAGAGTTGGACTCCATTGAGTGACTAACATTTTCACTTCACTTACAGTTCTCCCTAAGTCCTATGAATTGTGACCAATAAATCCACAATTTAAGAACAGGAAAAATAAGGAGAAAAAAGGATTCTATAGAGAGCAAGAGTAAAATGTAAACATCTATAAGATGCACTTCTTAATGGAGAGAAAGAAGCATAATAGAAGATAGTAACCTTGCTAGCCTTGAATGATTTAGACTGTGTACAACCTGCAAAGCAAGGAGAAAAATATGCAATATCATTTCTTCCACATGTAGCAGAATAAAATGCAGATGAACATTTACAATGAGAATTGCAAGGAGCTGTCAGGTTTCCCAACTGCCCTGCTCTGTAAAAAAAAAAAAAGAGATTGAATGTAATTATAATACTACTGTATTATACATATTAACACATCAAGATACATGAAGATATCAAAGAGATCAATAAAATATGATCATTAATTTTAACAGATTTAGGTATAACTGATATACAATAAACTGTACATATACAAGGTGTACAATTCGCATACACTTGTGAAATCATCACTGCAATCATGTTAATGAACATGATCATCACCCGCCACGGTTCCCCATGCTCCTTTGTATTAATGATTCCTCCAACCCCATGGCATCTGCTGATTTACTTTCTGACACTATTCATTAGTTTCAATTTCAAAGCATTTTATGAAATGGAATCATACAGTATGTGCCCTTTCGTTGTCTGACTTCTTTCATGAAGTTGGTCTTTACATGGTCTTTGTATGGTCATATGCTTCCATGTCTTTTGAGTAACAACAAGGAGCAGAATTTTTTGATCATATGGTAGGTGTTCATTTAACTTTTTAAGAAACTGTCAGTTTTCCAAAGTGATTGTGTTCTTTCATATTCTCAGAAACAGTGTATAAGATTTCAACTGTTTCCTATATTTCTTGTCAACACTTGGAGTAGTCTTTTTAATTTTAGACATTCTAACAAAGATATAGTTTGAGAGTCCCTTAGACTGCAAGGAGATCCAACCAGTCCATCCTAAAGGAAATCAGTACTGAATATTCATTGGAAGGACTGATGGTGAAGCTGAAATGCCATACTTTGGCCACCTGATGCGAAGAACTGACTCATTTGAAAAGACCCTGATGCTGGCAAAGATTGAGGGCAGGAGGAGAAGGGAATGACAGAGGATGAGGTTGGTGGATGGCATCACCGACTCAATGGACATGAGTTTGGGTGAACTCCGGGAGTTGGTGATGGACAGGGAGGCCTGGCGTGCTGTGGTTCATGGGGTCGCAAAGAGTCAGACATGAATGAGTAACTGAACTGCACTGAATATGAGTTTCCCTAATGACTGATGCTAGACATCTTTCCATGCACTTATTTTCTATCTACATTTATTATTTGGTTAAATATCTGTTCAAATCTTCTCCCCATTTTTGTGGTTTTCTTATTATTAAGCACTGAGTGTTGTTAATATTACCAAGAAATCAAGTCCTTTGTTAAACATGATTTTCAAATATCTTCTCATAGTCTATGGTCTGTCTCTGCATTACTTTAATAGACTCTTTCAAAGAGCATTTTTTTAAATTTTAATTAAGTCCAATTTATCAATATATTTCTTTACGGATCACATATTTGGTGTCATACATAACAAATCTTTGCTAAACACAGTTCAGTTCAGTCGCTCAGTCGTGTCCGACTCTTTGCAACCCCATGAATCGCAGCACACCAGGCCTCCCTGTCCATCACCAACTCCCAGATTCCACCTAAATCCATGTCCATTGAGTCGGTGATACCATCCAGCCATCTCATCCTCTGTCGTCCCCTTCTCCTCCTGCCCTCAATCCCTCCCAGCATCAGGGTCTTTTCCAATGACTCAACTCTTCACATGAGGTGGCCAAAGTATTGGAGTTTCAGCTTCAACATCAGTCCTTCCAATGAACACCCAGGACTGATCTTTAGGATGGACAGGTTGGATCTTCTTGCAGTCCAAGGGACTCTCAAGAGTCTTTTCCAACACCATAGTTCAAAAGCATCATTTCTTTGGCTCTCAGCTTTCTTCACAGTCCAACTCTCACATCCATACATGACTACTGGAAAAACCATAGCCTTGACTAGACGGACCTTTGTTAGCAAAGTAATGTCACTGCTTTTAAATATGCTACCTAGGTTGGTCATAACTTTCCTTCCAAGGAGTAAGCATCTTTTTTTTTCCATTTATTTTTATTAGTTGGAGGCTAATTACTTTAATTTCATGGCTGCAATCACCATCTGCAGTGATTTTGGAGCCCCCAAAAACAAAGTCTGCCCCTGTTTCCACTGACTCCCCATCTATTTGCCATGAAGTGATGGGACCAGATGCCATGATCTTAGTTTCCTGAATGTTGACCTTTAAGCCAACTTTTTCACTCTCCTCTTTCACTTTCATCAAGAGGCTTTTTAGTTCCTCTTCACTTTCTGCCATAAGGGTGGTATCATCTGCATATCTGAGGTTATTGATATTTCTCCCAGCAATCTTGCTGAACACGAGTTCACATAAATTTTTTCTCATATCCCTGGAATTTTACATTTTACATCTACCACCCATGTTAAATTAATTATTAGCATTGTATAATATGCGGGCTTCCCTGGCAGCTCAGACAGTAAAGCGTCCCCCTGCAGTGCGGGAGACCCAGGTTCGATCCCTGGGTCAGGAAGATCCCCTAGAGAAGGAAATGGCAACCCACTCCAGTACTCTTGCCTGGAAAATCCCATGGATGGAGGAGCCTAGTGGGCTACAAGTCCATGGGGTTGCAAAGAGTTGGACACGACTGAGCAACTTCACTTTCTTTATTGTATAATATACAGATCAAAGTTCAGTTGTTTAAATATAGATATCTAAGTGTTCCATAAACTGCACATTCACTCTGTCATAAATCAATTATCTATATATGTATTTGTGTACTTTTGGACTTTATTCTGTTCCACTGGCTTATTTGTCTATATTACACCAATACCACTTTCATGATTATTGTGGCTTTATAATAAGTCTTAAAATCAAATAGTGTTATCCCTCCATCTTTGTTCTTTAGAATTGTTTGTTTGTGGTTTTTCCAGGTCCTTTGCATAACTATATGAATTTAAATGTCATTTTTTCAATATGTAAAGAAGGAAGCTCACTAGGATTTTGGTTGTGATTACATCGAATACACACATTAATTTTGTATTAACATCTGAAGATTAACATCTTAAAGATATTGAGTCATTTAATCCGCCAACATTGGATGGATATCTCTTCATTTTAAAATTTAGGTCTTTAATTTCTCTCAGCAAGTTTTACTGTAATCATTATATAGAGTTTTTACATCTTCTATCGTATTTATCTTTAAAATTTTCTTTTTGTTGATACTATTGCTAATGGTATTGTTGTTTAATATCAATTTTAAGTTGTTTGTAGGTAGTATATAAAATGTCAAAGATTTTTGAATATTGATCTTCTACAGAATTTTTTCTTGCTTAATAGTATTGTTAACATTATTTTTTAAGCTTTTCTAGTTTTATTGAAAGATAATTTACACTTTATAAGCTTAAGATGTACAGCATAATTATTAGACTTACATATGTCATGAAATGATTACCACAATAAGTTTAGTGAGCATACATCATCAATATAAAATTAAAAAGAAAAAAAATTTCCTTGTAATGAGAACTCTTAGAATTTACTCTAACAACTTTCATCTATAATATGTAGCAGTATTAATTACATTTGTCTAGTGTCCATTACATCCCTAGTACTTATATATAACTGGTAGTTTGTACATTTCCACTGCCTTCATTCAGTTTCTGCTCCCTTAAAACCCTGCCTTAGTAACCCGCGAATCTGATCTATTTTTCTATGAGTTAGTTGATTGGTTGGTTGGTTTTTGAAGTATAATTGGTCTACAATACTGTTAGTTCCTGTTACACAGCATGGTGATGTGGTTTTCTATACATTTCAAACTTACCATCACACTAAGTCTAGTTTCAATACATCACCACACAAAGATATTACACAGTTATTGACTATAATGCCCATACTGCACATTTCATATCCATAACTCACTTATTTGCAACTAAAAGTTTGTACCTCCTAAACTCCCTCACCTCTTTAATTCCTCCCCTCAACTCCCTTCCTTCTGGCAAGCACTTGTTTGTTCTCTGCATCTATACCACTTTGTTTCTGGTATGTGATGTTTCTTCATTCATTTTTTAAATAGATTCCACACATAAGTAAAATCAAACAGTATTTGTCTTTGACATATTTAACTTACATTTAAAAACCCTCTTTTTCCATCTTTGTTGTTACAAATGGCAAGATTTCATTATTATTTATGGTTAATACTCCACTACATGTATATTACATCTTTTTTATACGTGACTCTATTCATGGGCACTTGGGTTGTTTCTATGCCTTTGGCTATTGTAAATAATGCTGTAATAATTACAGAGGTGCATATATCTTTTCTAGTTAGTAATTTTCTTCTCTTCAGCCCAATACTGAGGAGCAGAAAATAAACTTATATGTATGCTTTGTACATTTTGGATATAAATCCCTTGTTAGATATATCCTTTGCAAGTATCTTCTCCCATTCAGTAGGCAGCCTTTATGTTTTGATGCTTTCTTTTACTGAACAAAAGATTTTTAGTTTGATGTAGTCCCATTTGTTTATGTTTTACTTGCTTTCTTTGCCTGAGGAGACATCCAAACCTATCACTAAGACTGAAGTCAAACAGTGTACTGCCCGTTTTCTTCCAGTACTTTAGTGATCTCAGGTCTTACATTTAAGTCTTTAATCCATCTTGAATTTATTTTTGTTTATGGTATGAGAGAGTAGACCAGTTTGATTCTTTTGCATGTAGGTGTCCAGTTTTCCCAATACCATTTGTTGAAGAAGCTGTCTTTTCCCCATTGTATATATCTTCACTGCTGTAGCTTAACTGTCCATATAAGATTGGTTTTATTTCCACTGATTTATGTGTCTGTGTTTTGCCTGTGCTATACATTTTGATGACTGTAGCTCTGTAGTATAGTTTGAAATCAGGGAAGCATGATTTCTTCTTTCATGAGATTATTTTGGCTGCTTAGGGTCTTTTGTTTCCTTACAAATTTTAGCATTAGTTGTTCTAGTTCTCTGGAAAATGTCATTGATATTTTTAGGGCTTGCACTGAATCTGAAGTTTTCCTTGGGTAGTACGGTCATTTTAACAATATTAATTATTCCGCCCATCAACATGGTCTATCTTTCCGTCTGATAGTGTCATCTTCTATTTCATGCATCACTGTCCATTATAGTCTTCTGAGTACAAGTCCTTTACTTTCTTAAGGTTTACTTCTAGGTAT